TCCTCAACACATCGAGTCAATTTAGAGCGGAAATTGCTGACATGGACGTCGGTCATCCTACCTGGCATGGCTAGCGCTGACATGGATATTTTTTTTTTGAATTCTTTTCTTTCTTTTTCCTCCATGACCTGTGCCGTCTAGCAAGGCCGAGCACCGACGAGGCTGCCCTTGCCGAATCTAGCAAAGCCAACCCTGTCCCAGGCCAGGACGGCCTCGCCGGGCATGGCCTTTGCTGGCCGGGTGCACAGGCCATGGAAAAAAAAAAGAAAGAGAAAAAAAATTTAAAAAAATGCCCACTTTAGCGTCAGCCGTGCCACGTCGGACAGTCAGCGTCCACGTCAGCAATTTACCGCCTAAATTAGCCAGACAGACTCAATTGTTACAAATGTGAAAATGTTTAGATTAAATTTGTCAAATTAAAATGTTTAAAACTGAATTGGTATCAATACAATAAGTTTAGGATTTTTTTTCGTACTTTACCCGTTTTAAATCGGTCGGTGAAGTTTGAGTTTGACCATATCAAACAAACGTATCTTTGACTCATATCGAACCTTATAGAAAATTTGTTGCATAATTGGACCCCGAATCCTCTCCATAACTCGAAATTTGATTGTGACCTATTAGACTCCCATTTGACTACAAGCTGAATAGGAACCTCATTAGTCTCGACCTGTTACCATCCCCAGTAAGTTATCCATTAGCACCACGTGGCAAACGTGTTATATTATCTTGGTGAAAAGGATATATGTTCGATTATAAATGGGAAAAAAGAGCCAGCCTTACGCGAGTTAGGTGGTGACATTTCAAGGACAAGATCTAGACGTGAAGCATAATTAGGATTTGGGATGAGGGATTTTTCAGATCTCAGCGGTTTTTTATTGTTAGAATATAACGTTGAGAATATGTTTCTAGTTTGAATTTGTGAAAAAAATCTGATCGAAATTTGAAATTTGAAATTCAAATAGGACTTATGGTTTGACGTCCGAACAAGTAAGAAATTATTGAAAACTTTCCACATTGGAGTTGGATTCCTAATTTGAGTAGGTTTTATAATTTGAGTCGGCAATTCAAATAAGAACATATACAAAGGGAATTCTACTTGGTTATTACCCACGAGAGCAAGCAAGTTGAGTGTTAGGGTTTTTTGTGTGACTTTTCTAAGTGAGTTTTCCGTGAGAGATTGCGTAAAAAAAAAAAGAACTTATGGGTTTTGCTTTGGGTGTAATCTAGTATCGGGAAACACTTGAACGATTGAGCAATTGTAAATGGTGTAATTCTTCGAATTCATACTAGATTTCTTTGAAGCTGGCTCTTCCTATGGAGCAGAGACCAACACCTAGACCAAATCACGTAAATCTGTAGTGTCTTGATTGTTTTTCGTTGATTTCTTTATTAACTTTTTCTTCTCATGTTAGACTTAAATTGTAAGATCTATTAGCTTCTACGTTATTTCGCAACAATTGGTGTCAGAACTAAGGTTAAGGTTTACGGAGTTAACTTGGGACTTTTGCTTGTCAAAACATTGTTTGGAAATTCTATTGTTGCAAATATGTCCAAAGCGAAAGTTGAAATTGAGAAACTCAATGGGAGGAACAACTTTATGTTATGCTGTATAAAGATGTGTATCCTGTTAACAATCGAAGGTTTGATGAAGGTGTTGGATGGCAAAGATATTTAGGTAAAGTTGATGGAGAAGGAAAAAAGCATAATCCTGTTTGATCTATCATATGCGTGTTGATTAAAGTGGTCAAAGAGATGTAGCTTTGTTGGCAAAACTTGAAACACTTTATCTAACAGGATTTGAATAGTTACTTGTATATGCTTAAGAGGATGTTTCAATTCCGGGTTGTTGAAAACACATCTATTAGAACTCATTCAAATGAGTTTAACAAACTCATGATGGACTTGAATAACGTCAATAAAGCATTGCCGGACGAGAAACAAGGCATGATGTTGTAAGTGTCTCTACTGGAAGAGTTATAGTCCATCTTGTTTTCTAAGGAGTAGTTACGAGAAGATAACTTGCGCATAGTTATTCAGGGTAGAGACGAATGCTGAGGATTTGGGGTTGCAAATGGAAGAGTCATTCCAAATCAAACTCCAACGTTCGGATTCGTGATGTTATCACTACGTGAGGTAGCGCACTAAGGAGAGATTGTCTAAAGTACAAGAGTAAAGCAGATATGTTGAAGTTTGCAGGCAAAAGTAATGTTGTTACTACAGTTGATAATAGTTCTAGTGATGCCAATGATGGGTTGGTAGTCACCACGAGTTCATAGGTGATGATTGGTTGTTTGACTCTAGCTGTTTTTATCATGTGACTTTTAATGGACATTGGTTTACTACCCATCATTGCATGGATGGTGGTAAGGTGTTTATGAGAAATAGTGTTGCTTGTGAAGTAGAAGGGGTTGGGACAATTCATATTAAGGTGCACAATGGAGTGGTGAGAATGTTAATTGGCGTAATGCATGTACAAAACTAAGAAGGACCTTATCATAATGAGTACTCTTAATAAGTTTGGATACCAAATCTCTGTCGAAGGTAGAGTTCTAAATGAGGTATGCTTATTGTGATGTAGGGAAGATAGACTGTCATTGTATCTCCTCCATGAACGACAATAATTGGTTCGTATGTTAGAATTTCTTAGGCTTTGGGTCAGGATAAGATACAGTTGTAGTACACGAGACTCAGCCACGTAACTGACCTTAGAGATCGTAAGCTGCATACACTGACGATCCTCTTAAATTTCTTTCAAGGTTGGTGCTTGATATGTGTTGTTCATTGTCGATGACATTGTGAGCAAAGTCTGAATCTGTCTTCTTAAGTATAAGAGGGATGTGCTGGGTTGGTTCAAATTGTAGATGGCGGTGATCGAAAAGCAGATCAAAAGAAAGAGTGTTTTTTTGGGTCAACGATCCGAATGAAAACTGAGAAAAAGGTTAGGATTATGCTGTGGTGAGCTTTGACAGATTCTAAAATGGGGGTGTCCATTTGTCTGCTTTCGGGATTTATGTGTCATGTTGAAAATATGAACGTGGGCCCCTGACAAAAGCATTGAGTTTAGACTTTAACGACGGTTCAGTGGGTTTTAAGAAAAGTAGCAATAGAAGGAAACCAAAGCACATCCCTACATATTCAATTCATATTTGACTTTGGTCTCGCATTATTCGTGATTGGCAACTTCATGTACTCTAAGCCTGGTGCTATTGAGAAATTTCTCTCAAACTCCATGTCGATAGGTCCGGAAGTGTTTAAAACTCAGCACTGTATTTTCTGATCCTAGGTTTGCACTTAGGAGGACTAGTTAGTGCACATTGAATTTTTCATTTCGGCCCCTCTTAAATAAATGGCCCTTTGACATGCTTAAAATCAAAGATCCAGATTTGATTAGACGTGTCAGTCCCTCAAAAACCCAAAGGGAAGAAGCCTAAATTCCTAAAGTGATAGTCGACTCGTTACGGTGGACTTGTAAAATATCAATTGCACATTAATGAATGAGCACTAATGCGTGCGAGACACGATTATTTACTGAAGGTTGCTTGAACTAATTGCTAACCGCACGATTAAGGGTTTTTAATTTTTTTTCTTTTATTAAGTTTGTGGGATTAAAAAACAATCTTCGGCTATATTTTCTTGTCGATTGAGGCTTGGACTAAGGTTTGAAAGTTCGAAAGCCCATCTTGTCTTCAAGCAAGCTATATACATTGACTCCGGACACAAAATGTCACAATCGCAAAAGGTAAGAGGATCGTGGAAATAATTTATGCTAATTATTGGGGTTAATACCATGAAAAATCCTAAAATAGTATATTTATGATAAATTTACCCCAAACTAATTTCTTTGACCAACAAAAACCTCAAACTGGTACACGTAACAAATTTATCATCCGTTAGTTTCCGTTAAATTTTACTGTCAAATTGCTGAATTGATTGACACGTAGCAGTTAACAAGTATACTAGTTTGGGATTTTACCATTCTGTTTGTCACAGATTTACTAATTTGTGATTTTTCATAGTATCAATCCAATTTAACGGAGAGTAAATTTGTCACAAGTGTACCAATTTGAAATTTTTTGTGGTAAAAAAATTAGCTTGAGATAAATTTGTTACGGGTGTACCAGTTTGGGATTTTTTGTGGTCAAAAAATTAGTTGAAAGTAAATTTATTATCAGCATACTAGTTTAAGGTTTTTTGTGGTATTAACCCTAATTATTAATAAACATCCCACTATCTATTAAAGAAAATCGACTATTTTTTAATAAGTTATTTTTCTAGTGTTATGCATTACTATAATTGATTTCTTAGAAATCAGAAGTATTTTCATTAGCATACGCTGGATGAGCATTTTCAAGACACTCGTCAAGATCTTTCTAAAGTTGGAGAATAAAAACTATGGTATTGAGTTTTGATGTGTAATCTTTTCCCTATAACCCTCTTTAGATGAGACATATATTTCCCTCCGTAGAGCTTGTACAAGCAATAAATTCAAACATCGCGAAAAATTAAAGTACACAAAACGCTTCAAAAATTTTCCGAATCTTATAAAATGTAGCTTGTAAGTATGAATGCTCGTTGACAAAATCTAATTATCAGTTATTTGGCTAATGCTCAACCTTCAGAAAATACAAAAAAACATGAAGATTTTACTCGCGATAGATTCTATCTATTGCATATCATTCCCATAACAAGCCTGTGCATAATACCCTTCTGTCCATACACTGCATAATGAGGCATTCCAATAGTAAAGCCTTTACAGAAGGAAAGCATGCTGGTCCTCTTCTTTACTGAATGATAAGCACGAGGCACCATAAAACAAAGTAAAAGAACAAGATTGGACGAGGTTATAATAGTAATGGCAAGCGATGATGAAAGGATTTCATCGTACACTGGCGAGTCAAAGAGTACTCGATACCACATCACTCGGAAACAATCGAATAGCAAAAGCAACAGAAAGACCAAATTTGGGCTTATCTCCAGAAAGTTCATAATGAAAAGGAGAACACCCTACCAGGGTTTACCAAAGCTTCTCTCTTTTTTTAATGAAAAAAGAACAAAAGAAAATGTAACACCACCCTACCAAGAAACTACAACTTGTAAGATGAAGGATACAAGTACAGAAAACAAATGACCCCTCAATTTCACACTCCAGATTTTTCTTACGGAAGTTGCGCGATCTAACATTACTAGATGAACTACTATACCTCTAATAAACATAGGGGAATATCCTCCAAGGAACTAGTCTACGGTATTCTGCCCAAATTTCTCTGTACTTTTCTGCACAACGAGCTTCGTCTCTTCTCTCTCTCCATATCAGCAGAATGAGGAGATAAATTGGGTAGAAATAAGGAACTGGTGAACTACATGAAAAAAAAGAAAACGGAAGCTCTTAAAATCTGTGATCTACTTATTTTGGCAAACAAGGCAGACAATAATAGAGTTGCACAAAGTCAAAACTCACCTTAGTCCACAAGGCAAACTGAAGGACAGTGCCAGCAGCAAGTCGCCAAGGTAATTACAGTGCCTTGCAATTCCCCTTCAACCAAAGGATACGTGAAGTCAAAATTCGCAAGAGAAGCAGGGAAAAATATTCAACTTTTTGGGAACCAGAATGAAAGAAACATAAGACTTGTTATTTACCGTGCTTTACAGCCTTCTCCATCATATTTTACCAAAATTACATTCACTTTCATGAAGCATATTGACAGAGGCGATTAATCTACCTTTTTTCTTTTCTATTAGAGTGTGCCTTACTTGAAAAATCATGCATCTTCACAGAGATCACTGGAAGTGGGGTGTAAGGAGAAGCAAAATAAAGGTATAGCAAGCTTCACAGAAACAGAAAGAATTGACTATCAGTGAGTGCTGTATAACTTCAGACAATGGAGAAGGTTTGATATGCATAAGATGTGAAAAACCAGGCTAACAGAACTTTTATTAACATAAAACTGCAAAGGAGCTAGCCGATAAATCCAACAATACAAGTTGAAACTATTGAGGTAGGTGTGCAAGGCTGCAAGCACATTACATTACACATACTTGTGGTCCTATCTGTTCATCTTAGACTTGGATTTCATTCATGACCTTCATATCACTTACATTAACCATAAATCACAGCAATAGAAGGAGGGGACTGTTGTTTTACCAATAACCAGAAGCAAGCAACTTCCCCCCTACAACTTTTGGAGGATGACCCCATATAAGTGCTTTGGGATTCCTTTTGAACACATGCTTTTGCTTGTTAGCTCCTCGGAACACCATATATCTACGCAGTTTTTTAGGCAAAGGAAAATGAAATCTTAGTAAAGGCGGCAAGAAATATTAGGTTCATCGGCAAAAGTCAATATAACTTCAACGAAGCCTACCCAATCAGAAATATGAAACAATTAGCAATGGCAGCAGTAGTTGTTAGCTCTACATTATTCCTCAAAAGCCACCAACCCTGTATCAGAGATGACAATTACTCATGTAGGCATATAAACATGGCTCAAATATGTTGAGTTTTTAATGGTTGCTAATTACTATAAACACTCTTTTATTATTACAAGAGACTTTGACATACTCACCACTCTCACACACCACTCACTGCACACACGTCACAGTACAATCATGACAATGCTCTCAAGCCTCACTCTTACATCATCTCTCTACATTCACACGCCACCCACTACAACACTACTTTTCTATCTCTGCACACCCACACACTCTCTTACTTGGACTCCTTACTCACACCTGCACGAGGAGCAAGTTGCTCCTATTTATAGGATGGAAGGTCGGTGCATTCACTGACTTTGTTGGCTTTCTACAAATATCTTCTTATAACAGCTTGGCAACTAGATTCTTTGGAGAAGTCTAGAAGTGGCGCAGCTTTTCTTTACCAATGGACTTTCACTAGAAATTTCTGGAGAAGGGAGAGAAAGTGGCGGTGCTCTCTTTCAACACTCCCCCGCACCGACTACTCTCTCTCAATGCGAATGGGGATTTCAGCTTATTTGGTCAAGCCTTTCGTTCATAATTTTCATTTCATGCTTTAACCGATTTAATCCCCGCCGAAGCACTTCGACATCTTGATCCTTCTTCACATAAGGCTTCTTCTCCAAAGCAGTGATTCTCTTCCATTTCGCCTTCAAAATATTTGAAGTCTTTTTAATTTTTGCTTTCGGTTCCTTCTTCTTAATTTTATTCCAATGACCCTTGCACCTCGGATATGGCCTCTTTTCCTCAGACCAATATTTCTTCTTCTCCTTCAACGTTTGCAATTTCTTAAGCTCATATTGAAGCTTCTCGTGCTTTCTTTCTTTGATCTCAAGCTCCTTGTCCTTCTGCCTCAGCATCTCGTTCCTCTTCTTCAACATTTTCTCCATCTTTCCCTTCTTGATCTTCAGCATCTTTATCATCTCCTGCATCTCTTGCAGTTGCTTCTCACAACTGCTCGTTGACGTCGCTACTTGCTTTTTCGAGTTCTCTCTTGGCTCATTCTCCTTCAGAGACGCGACAAGGGCTGTCTTCTCATCTGTTTCCATGATATACAGGAGGTTGCAAGCTCTTCTCGTTCTGCCACTGCAACAGGTGCTTGGAAGTTCCATTTATCTTCACTTTCAATCTTTTTCTTGATAAAAGTTGCAACATTTCCTTCTTCCCGTCTGTACCAACAGACTTAAGCAATGTGTCCTACCTTGCCGCAGATGTAGCATCGTCTGCTTCGCCTTCTTTTGCTCTCATCTTCATCATTATCCTTGTCGCGATCTTGACAAGCTCCCCCTGGCTGATAACTCCTCTCTTTTGGTTGCCTCCGCCAGTCTCCATAACTTTTCCACTGTTTTGGTCGTCTTTGCCAATTTTCATGACTCCTCCATTGTTTGCCATCCCTTGTGCCAGCACCATATCTGCTTTGGCTCATAGACCCCTTGAACCGTCTTTTACTACTGAAGAGGGCATTTTCATCATCCTTGACCGAGACCTTAGGCATCTGTTTGTCTGACGCCTCTTGGTTGGCCAATATAGTCTCCAACTCAGTTAGAGTTGGCTCGTTCGCCCATCCACGGGTGGCCGTAACAATACCGTTGTACTCCGGCCGTAATCCGTGAATGATAATTCTTCTCATCCTTGTCTCAGAGATGGCATTCTAAGGATCTAACTTTGAAATTTCTTCACAAATAGATTTAACTTTGGAGAAATATTGACTCACCATCATATCTTGTTGCGAGATTGAGAGGAGCTCGTTCTCCGGCCTTTGTAACTTGGCATCGTTCGTCCTCGCGAATAGTGCCGCCAAGTTATCTCATGCCTCCTTAGGGGTCTTTGTGCTCTTAATATGCTGCAACAACTCATCTTTGACAGTTACAGCAAGAACATAAAGAGCCTTGCCTGCTCTGATGTTCCATTTTCTTAATTCGCTATCATTTGTGGGTGGTGTGGTGTTGCTGCCGCCAACAATATCCCACAAGTCTTGACCCTGCAAGTAGTATTGCATGCGAGTACTCCAATTATTATAATTGAAGCTATTGAGCTTCTCGATGCCGTTCACCGAACTTGAGAAATCCGCCATCATGACTTGGTTATAATGTCCAACACTTCACCAAGTAAGCCCGGTCCCAGACTGACCAGCTTCACAGTCCCTGACTTGTGCAACGACAGAACTCCGGCGTCCTCCAATCTCTGACCGCCTGCTCACGTAAAATGGTCCCTGACCACGTCTTCACGTGCCACGATCTCGATCGCTAGGTTGACGGTCCCCAACCGCTTGCTCTTACAATGATCCCAGAAACCGGGCTCTGATACCACTTGTTGAGTTTTTAATGGTTGCCAATTACTATAAACACTCTTCTATTATTGCAAGAGACTTTGACACACTCACCACTCTCTCACACCACTCACTGCACACACGTCACAGTACAATCATGACAATGCTCTCAAGCCTCACTCTTACATCATCTCTCTACATTCACACGCCACCCACTACAACACTACTTTTCTATCTCTGCACACCCACACACTCTCTTACTTGGACTCCTTACTCACACCTGCACGAGGAGCAAGTTGCTCCTATTTATAGGATGGAAGGTCGGTGCATTCACTGACTTTGTTGGCTTTCTACAAATATCTTCTTATAACAGCTTGGCAACTAGATTCTTTGGAGAAGTCTAGAAGTGGCGCAGCTTTTCTTTACCAATGGACTTTCACTAGAAATTTCTGGAGAAGGGAGAGAAAGTGGCGGTGCTCTCTTTCAACAAAATAATCCTCAAAACCGCATAATTATCTAATAAATGGTTCCTAATGACCTTAAAGATGCAATCTTCCATTTAGGGTGTACAACGACTGACATAGTGAGATGTGGACTCTTAGGGTGCAATCCTTTAAACAACTTGGCAACTAGATTTTCTTGGAGAAGTCTAGAAGTGGCGCAGATTTTCTTTACCGATGGACTTTTACTAGAAATTTCTGGAGAAGGGAGAGAGAGTGGCGGTGCTCTCTTTCAACAAAATAATCCTCAAAACCGCATAATTATCTAATAAATGGTTCCTAATGACCTTAAAGATGCAATCTTCCATTTAGGGTGTACAACGACTGACATAGTGAGATGTGGACTCTTAGGGTGCAATCCTTTAAAGGCAATCAAGATTAGTATAATAAGGCAACTTTTCTAATCCTCCTAAGAGATCTGGAAGTGAACAACTAGAAAACAGAGAGATGTTGCATGAACTGTCAATAATTCACTGAACACCAAAGAACAAAATAATACTAATCACAGCATCCAGAGATTTGAAATATGTATATTTGCTAGGCATGGATGGAGCTTTATCATGAACTTAATTGGCTTGCCCATAATGCTAGATAAGCAATGCTCATTAACCATCAATTAAGCATCGGGTTGGCAAAACTCAGGAGCCACCAGCACCCCCCACCCCCCCCCCCCCTGTGCAGCAGGCTGTAAGTATGAAATATAGGTTCGTGGATATTGTGATAATGTGACAATTGATAGCTATAGTAGAAAGAGACAGAAATAATGACCAAACGTATTGTATGTTCTCCTCTAGATGGCATACCTGAATGCTAAACGTGAAGGGAATCCACACTAGATCTCCAAATACCAACATGAAGCCCAATCTCTCTGCAATAATATCCCATCTAGAAAAAAGTCCAATTGCCAAAATAGAGTCATAAATGGGAATTATACTGGAATAGGTAAGCAATATTCACCTAAGCAACTCATCCCAGAGGAGATGAACTTAAGCAAGACTGAACAAGATCGTTGAAGCATACACATATATATCAATCAATTCAGGTACAATGAAGCTAATATTGTACATGAGACACAAACTTATGATCTATCAAAGGGTAGGGATAAACTTGAAGACAAAGTTTTAAAGTAGAATCTATGAGTAGGCTTCAAAATGACTTTTCTTTTGTAGAAGATAGAAATGACAAGTCCTGAATCAAAGACTCTAGAAAAGGTTGCTTTAGACCATCATGAGTCAGATTCTCCCTCACTAGGTAAATAAGGTTGAATTAATCTGGTGTTCTTTTCAGTAGCTCAAGTTTTACTTGTCTTGGTTCATATATGAACAAGAGGATCATGAAATTATTTTGATTGCTGTAGACTTTCCCATATTAGACATTCCACTTGAACAGTGGATGTCTCAAGCTTAAATTTTTAATACCAGGCAAAAAACATTTGCCTGGCAACCTCCCAAGGAAGAGCACTTATCTCTCGGGAATCTGACTGGTTGTGATGCAACATAATATTGCCAATTGGCTGAACCTCATTTCCTTCTATTATAGCTTTTAGTGTTGTGAGGAGTCTCGCCTGCTGTGCAGCAGTGAATAGCAACTGATGCATACGGTTATTGGCAAACAATGTTGTGATCAAGTCTGAAAGTTCATAAACAGAGGATTTTTTGTTTCAAAGCTGAAATAGCACTCTTGTATTACTAGCAAAATCAGCTGCTGTAGAGTGCTTCCTTTACATATGATATTTCCACAGAGAAGCATCCTTTTTTCTTTTCTCTTTTGGGCTAGCGTTTAGAGGTTTTGGGAGAGAGGGACAAGGGGGGGGGGAGGGGAACGCACAATCACCAACATCGATGCAGTATTATTTGTCACTATAGAAGGGAGCCTCAATCTTTCCAATGCCCACATTGCTCAGTTAATATTTTTATCCCTTTTTAAAGCATTATAATCAGAACCATACATTGATCTCTGTATAATATACGCTAGCAATGTAGGACAAATGAAAACTATGGTTGAGATTTCCAGTCGGTCCATTTAGGTGTCACCTTAATAATTTGGATCGAAGTTTCAAGTTAACAGGTTCTCAAGCCCAGCAAACTAAAGGTTGAAAGAACACATGGCCACAATGAAAGGATTTTAGCAGCAGAACTGTCTGCTAAACAACAGCAGTGCATATGGCAGGCCAGCTCATACATGAGCATTGCAGCGTTTCCTAAATGATCTAACGAGACGCACTATTAATCTAGAGTACAGTCCAGTAGAGTTTTAAGTGGAGATAAAAGCTCCTAGATTTTAGCAGCAAAGTAGTTTCTCAAAAAAGAAGAACCAGGTTTAACGACCTGGACAAAACTTCAATGTGCAAGATTAAGGACTGTGGAGACAGACAAGTTATGCACTTACGTGGAAGTCATATACTCCTCGTGGACAAAGTAGTCTAGGATATATAACTGGAAAGAAGAGAAAAAAGAATTGTTAGATGAGGGAACTTGTAAAACTGACTTTATTAAAAACTGCTAAAGAGATTGTCATAAAATTACCACGCAGAATAGCTGATAAAGGATCACTGATAGGCTTAAGTTGCCATCTTGGACACTTCTAGCAAGAACTGACAGGTTGATAAGAAGCCAGCCCATCATACCTGCTCGAACAAAGAAAAACCTACAGAAGACAAATTTTACAACTTAAAGCTAAAACATTTGGTCGCAGTGAGGAAATATCAGCAACTGTATATATCATGTTAAAGTGAGATTCAATACAAAGTAAGATCCATGTAAGCACCCATGCAGTTTCATGTTATTAAAAAGGATAAACTGGTGCAATTAGAAGCCTATGGATAGCCAAGTGAGAGAACACGGAAGAATGCTGAACCTCACACTTATGAAAGGTGAGACGTGGTCTGGAAAACACTAGTGATGTACTAATATTTTAGTCCACACGAGAAACGATGTGCATGAACATATAAAAGTATTTTAAATATCAGTAAAACGATGAATGTGACCGGAAAAGTTCACATACTTGAGGTCTATCCCAATAAATTGAGGATTCAGCTGTATTCCAAACCACCTGTAAATTAAGAAGAAAGCTATCATTAGCAACATTAGATGATGACCAGTATGTTGTCCAAGACAACATATATGGAAACAGCCACACATTTCACAGAAGACCAATACAAAACACGATATTTACTTCATTCAAAAAAAAAAATCAGGTGAAGCGATAATGTAAACCTCCGCAGTTTACCATGTCATGCAAATACATGACCATAGATATGGACAAAAGATGAATGTTTAGTTCTGTTCATGGAAGATAACAACCGAAAATGGCAACTCAACATCATACTTTCATCTCACAATATGGCAATTATCTTGCATAGGCAATAAAGAAATCAATAGTCCTGAAAAAATTGTGATATAAAATTTCAAGAATTCAGCTAGATCATTGGTTTTTAAACCTTGTACTTGTTCAGTTTAGTTACTAAAAATGACGACAAGTGTCACGTCATTGGTGCAAAGAAAGGAGGAATACTTCCTAGAATTTACCTATGCCCCGATTCCTTGCAACTTACAATTGGCAATTATGTTTTTTAGGAGGTAAAAAATGTCATAGTGATAGAATCGAAATGAGTAGCATAGATGGCAAATCCATTATCAGGCCAAAATTTCTGAACTGAGAAAACACATACAAATCATGAGTGAGGTTTCCTGACAGATGAGGCTTTAGGGAGGCACTGTTACTACGCGACTTGCACCCAGCAGCATAGAGTACAATGGTAACCTGGCAACAGTAATCACAAGAACATTGTGCAGAGCAAAATGATTAGGAACCAAATACAGCTATTCTATGTTTCTTATCCAGACAAATAGAGCAACCTTTTTAGTGTAAACAGGAAGAGAGATTTAAACTGCTAAAGTTGCCTTTCAGAAGCAGCATAAGCAAGAAGAAATGAAGATGATATTTGTATTGCCCTGGTTTTGCCATTTAGAAGAGCAAGACAAGGAAGTTCTTGAATGTAGTTTGGACAAAACCAATTAATTGACAAACTCAACAAACTCAATGGAAGCTAAATTATCTTCTGGCATTGGGGCTCATCTAGAGAACTATTAAATCAGCTAGCTTTTGTGCTTTGGTAATTCATGGGGGCCCATACATACATAGACATCAGGTATTCTATTTATTCTTTTCAAATTCAACTTTCTTCCAAATCTTTCATTTGCTTTTAACCTAAAACATGTGTGTGTGTTGATTGAACTCCCTTAAAGTCACAATCAGTGGAAACTTATTTTACCTCTAGCTAGATTGTACACCATGCATATGTCAGAACAGAAGAGGTTATTCCTAGCTTTCTTTGTTTCTTTTTCTGGTGCACATTTCTAGTTTCCATCTATGCTGGTGATATAAACATTGCTAGCAATGAATATCCATACACAAAGTTGTGATTCATTCGGCAGCTTATTTTCCATGATGAACATGATACCAAATTACATTGCTTAAATTGAGGTTCAGCATCTATTGATTCATTTCTGGCTCAGTCCAAGTGTACTGTTGCATTACCAATTTCAGTGTTTTCCTTCTCCAAATATATAGCTTGAATTAGGTATTGTGTTGAGGCACCCACCACTGCTATAAACTTTTGGTGCTCAATGGCATGTGCACCACTAAAAAAGGAGATTCACCATTGTTCAGGACGCCAATTCATGGAAGAATGCATTTACCAATCACAAACATATACAAGCAAATCCAATGTGTTGCAGGATAATACTACTCATAGTCTTCTTTTGCACATCTTTCTGAACTGAAGCTACCTGATGGGCAACAGTGATGATGAATGACCAAGAAGCCTACTTAATTTAACTTAACACATATTCGAGAGATGTGGAGACCCAGCTTCCCCACATAAAGTTTCTCTCACGTTCTCACGAAGAAGCTTGACAACTTGGCTCAATCGATCTTTGACTGGTCTAGCAAGCCCAGATAACCTCTACTTGATTTCACTGTCGTACTTCACATGAATTGCTAACAAATTGAAACTATGTATGCAATGTCCTTGCATTGTTGTGATAAATAAGAGGTGAAGCATGAAGAAGGTTGTGTAATGGGACTTTTTGATATGCAGGATCCTTATTAATTCAAGGAGGAAAAGGCCGAAGGTCTTGTTGCAAAAAGATATCAACAAAAAACAGTCGACTGTCTCTGTAAGACATTCATTTTCATTAAAACGAATCGACAAATTATTTAATAAGCAAGAGCATAAGTATTCTTGTTCTAGGTTTGGCATCTGCAAAAGTGTGCTATTATATTCACCCTTATCTCGATTCATGATGTGTTCATGCACATGCTCTCCGTGTGAGAAAAACTGTATCAGAGAAGAGCATCAGCACCAATGCTGGTCCAGAGCTCACGGTCATGAAGAAACTCTAGGCCTAGAGGAAAGAGTCAGAGAGGGCAGCAGAGATGCACTGAAGAGACAGCTACATTTACGACGACATCAATATGCTTATGCTATAAACAGAGAAAAGCAACAGAAATTTCCACAACTTACAAGAGTGCTGAATATAAAAGTCGTCGATAGCAGCTCAAGTCCTCTTTCTGCTATTATCTGCAAACATTCGATTAGATACATGTAAATGCACAAGCACCCCCTGTTTCTACAATCATCCATGCCAATAAATATACAAAGTCCTTCCTGCGTATAAATCAGAAATGCTAGGTGTCCCAGATTTTCCGTAAAATGGCACAGGTAGATCCACATTTCAGGCGCTTCAACATCTCGTCTGCTTCATCTGATCTCTATAGACTTAACCACTAACGATCTTTCGAAAGCATACTCCAAAAAGACAAAAGCGATCATGAACGTCTAAATCCTAGTTCTAAAGCAACAACATTGAATGAATTTATTACAAGTACGTTCATTCCCACGAGAAAAGCGAGAATGCACGAGCAATCAAGACATACGGTGGGTCGAAGGAAGTCCGTCCAAGCACCGAGCCCAAGCAAAGCAACGAGAAGAAGAAGAGACACCAAACCTGAAGACACAAACGGAGCAACGAAGCATCACAAATCTAAGAGCGCAAGAACCGCGTCTCCGCAACGAGCGAGAAAAAAGCTCGACGAAAGAAGAAGAAGAAGAAGAAGAAGACCATTGCAGCGATAGTAGAGCCGAGAGCCGTCCGGCAGCGTCGCGCCGGGAACGACCTTCCCGTGCAGTATCGAACCGGCGGCGGCCAAGTAGGCGAAGAACGTCCCCAGCAAGACGACCTGAAACGGAAGGGGGCCACAAGAGCGAGATGACAACGGGATCGGAGGGGCTAGAAAATGCGAATGCGGGAGCAGAGGGAGCAGGTGCTCACGGAGCTCCACGAAGGGATCAGAGCGTGAAGGAGAGCGGCGAGATCCATTCGTTGACGTCTCCGTCTCTCTCTCTCTCTCGCCGGAGAAGTGTTCGAGGGAATGCGCAAGCGAAGCTCTTGCCCCGTTGTTCTTACTACACGACGACGACTCGCCTCGGTGGACTGGACTGGACTGGACTGGACTTGACAGCGCTTTTCATCGCCTGCTCTCTCTCTCTCTCTCGATCAGTAAAAGTTACATCAGTGGATTATAATATAATTTTTCGTGGGTTCATTCACTAAATATTATTGCTTCTTTTTTAAATAAAAGAAGGAAGTGATTCTTGAAATTTTTTTTTATAATTTTGAACTTTTTTCGTATAATTGAAATCTAGAATTATGCGTTTTTTTTAACTTTCAAATCAACCATTTCGATACATAAAAGAATGAAAATGATGATATAACAAATCGCATCAGTACCGCATCAATACGTTCTCTCAACTCATTTTTTAAATGGAATAAGAATTTAAAGCTAAAGAAAAGCATAAAAAGCCTCTTGGGAGTGAATTAACGAGGGTCCGACAACCCTTGCCAGCGTTTCCCAAACGATGGAGGGCATGGTGTTTTTTCAGCATTGAATGCCGCAGCAATTCCACCGAGTGTAGTAATTAACATAACATCTAGGTTTGTGTTCTTCTTACATCCAAGAAAAAACCCGCGAAACAAATGGAACTCTCAATACATATTTGAGAACCAAGATAAAAGTCAACGCAATTATTAATGTGATTATTCTAATTGTATTCAGTATGATACATGGAACGATCATAAGGCAGATTGTCATTCATAGATCCATTCTTCATATAAGCACAAGTCCGATAAGTAAGTAATGGGGAAGAGAATCGAAATATTCCACTGAAAGACTCTACTGAAACAAAGATGAGGCTGTCAAGAACATAGAGGATGTAGGATGGGCAATTGGTCAATCTAGCATGATTCGTACATGGACTATAGTTGGAGCTGGCGGCTCTCTTAAGATTCCCTCATCTAGGATTTTTGGGCAAGAGGATCAAGCTGGCCCTGCGAACAACTTGTTGCACCATCTCCCCTTTAACTCTTTGAGCGAAATGCGACAAAAGGAAAGAAAATTCATGGACCAACCTCATTGTCTCCACCCTGTCAATCCGAACTTAAAACCAGAAATGAGAAGCTCACTCATCACGTCACAATTATGGATTCAAACACAAATCCTCCGAGACCACTAATGACATTCATTTCTCATCACCGACACCACGTCAGACATTTCATATCGATTCCGCTCTCGATCGTCCCGCAAATGAACTGGTCATGACTAGAAAAATTCAAGCTATCTTTCTAATTTCAACGGGTCGGTCTCCTCAATTTACACACACAAGATCAACGGGTGAAGAAGCGACTTTGACGCCATGAAGAAGACTAAAAGAATTTGACTCGTGCAATTCCATCTCGGCCGTCCAAATTCACGACCGCGAGGATGAACCACGTCGCGCGCGTCGCACTACATCGTAGCTCCGGCGAGGCAAAGCCGCAAAGGCAAAGCCAAAACCCATTGGTATACACGCGCGTATAAATACGCACCTTTTGAATGCCCTAACCATCTCCTTTCGCTCTGCAAAATCCCTCCGCTTCTCGCGTCTTCTGGAAAAATCCACCGCCCGCCGGACGTCGCCGCTGCTCGCCGTCGGCAATGGAGTTTTGGGGTGACTCTCTCTCTCTCTCTCTCTCTCTCTGGTTTGCTGTGATCGTTGCTTCTTGATCTTCGCGTTTGCGTGCGCGTGCGGTGAAACCCGGCTTCTCGTGCGCTTTGCCCCTGGATACGATCGCTTGTGCTAGCTTTTGGCTGCCGTGATACTGTGCCGTGAGAAATCACGAGAGGTTGTGATTCCGCGTGCCGCGATGGTCGCTGTTTGTGCTGTCGACCGCATGGTGTGGCTGCTTCGACTCGCCGAGGTTTCCGTCGAGCTGCGAGGACTGTTTTCTTGTGATTCTCTGTGGACTTGAGGGATGGCTAGGGTTTGGGACGCGTCTATTTGTGTTTTGCTTCTGTGATGTTCTGTGTTGTTCTGGTATGATCTGATTTCACTGCGAGCGGACTGGTTCGTGGAATTTCGGTGTGTAACCGCCGGTGCATTTGCGTCCTGTTGATTTTCTTTTTTTTTTTCCCATTCTGCTGTTGGTGTCATCATGGTTCTTGTTAGATACTGCTTGCTTGTTGCCCTCATGGAAAATTTCTGTGTACTAAGATGGCTTGCGTGTTCGGCGAATTGGAGCGGCACATGAGGTCTTTATTCTTTTTTGGCCATGGGTTAAATACTCGGGATAACCTTCCCGTTTAGCTGAAAGTTTTGTCGACTTTGGTTTTGTATTTACTCTGTTCCACGGTACTTGTCTGGTATGTAGGTACTTTTCCGTCAGGAGTAAATGTCATATTTACGGCTATTCCAGTTTGGTATCTACTTGTCTGAGATGTCTCTTCTCCTTATTGCCTCTTCGGCGATATTTTCATAGTCGCTGAAGATGTCATATTTTCCGCCGACTCGCATTAACCCACAATTGATTTGTGGAGACATCTCTATCATTCAAATTATTTTTCAGTTTCAATTTCATAGTGGAGATACATAGTAGTTTAAGCTTGATGGAATTTTTGACATTGTTACCGGTGCGTGCACTGCATCATAGCTCTGGGATCCAATTGTTACCATTGCGTATCACAGTGCATCATTTCTCTTGCACCCGAGCAGATGGAATGCAGAACTCCTTCTGGTTTCTAATGAGAATTTTGGTGTTACGTATGGCCCTTGAATAGGTGTGGAAGTCAAAAGTGGGGAACCCCTCATTGTCGAACCTGGGCATGAGACAGTTGTGCATCTGTCACAGGTGATGATCATGCTATCAAGTTCATTGCAATATTTTTTTACTCCTTCTTAGACTTTGTGTTGTTCTTTTGCTTACATTGGTTTGGTGACATAGGCCTGTCTTGGAGAAGCCAAGGACAAAGCAAAGGAATCTATACTCCTCTATGTTAATATCGGGGGTCAAAAACTTGTCCTTGGAACTCTCTCTGCCGATAAGTTTCCCCAGATACCTTTTGATCTGGTGTTTGAGAAAAGTTTTGGGCTTTCTCATAATTGGAAAAATGGAAGCGTCTTCTTCAGTGGATATAAGACACAACTTCCATGTGGATATCCTTTTTCTTGATCTTGTGCTCTTCAAAGTTTGTATGGGTCGACTCTTGAGATGCCCTTAGCACAACGAATGCTTTTTGTCCTTTATCTTTGAATATTGCATTTGTCAAGCGTCCAGTTTTCTTGGAATTAATCGGCAAGTAGTGAGTTATGTCCCCTTGTCATTTACTTCTGTTCTTTCCTTGACCCTGCTTCGTGGGCCATCACGTCCGACGTTGACAGTCTATGTGAGTATTTTTGCAAATGTATGGTTCATTTATTCTTTTTTCTTGTGGTGTGCTGATTTGATTTGACAATCTATCCTTGTTCTATTGCTTCAGATTCTGATTCCGATGCTGAAGAGGGTCTTCCAATTAATGTAACTGGTGAGTAATTGAATGGGAGATGATTCAGAGATCTTGCCTGTTGTTAAGCTTGACAGAATGGTTTTCTTGCTCAATTGTGCCTGTTGGGCACAAGATCTTCATTCTGTAGAAAACCTAACTTGGTTTACTCATGCTTGTGCAGCTCAAGCTGATGTCCCTCCGCAAAAAGCACCAGTCATTGCTAATGCCAACGCAGCAAAGCCCAACCTTGCTTCTGCTAAGCAAAAGGTAAAGATTGCTGAATTAAACGAGGATGGGAAAAACAAAGGGGACAATGAGGACGCTGATTCATTTTCAGATGATGATGAGGATGATTCTGGTGATGAGGTACTTTATGAATGACATTTTCAATCAGTTCATCTTTTTTGTAAATGACTTCTTTAAGACTATTGACTGTTGATGCATATAGCTTCTACTGAGGTGGATGTGTTCTGAGAAGTTTTGCTATGGATCTTGGAGACTTTCTTTTTCTTTTGGTAATAAAGGACAATACTGAAATGATTCAATGGAAAAAAGGAAAAGAAAAGAAATGGGTGTCAACTAGATCAGAGAAGCTGAATAATGTTAGGCTTCAAATTCTCTGAGCTTGTTCTTTATGTGGCAGAACACTGTTGAATTATTTGACCCATCTTCAGATGGTGGTGGCAGGACATTGCTTGTAGTAGAATGCAGTCTAGAGAGGTGTAGACTTATCAATGATTAACTGGGTCACTGGAGATCATTATAATCTTCTAATTTTGTTTGGTCGGATTTATAATCTTCTAATTTGAGAGTTTTTTTTGGTAAGGTTCTAATTTGAGAGTTTGTACCTGCAAATCTTGGAAATATACTGTATCCATGATATTCAATTATATGTATGAAATTTATGATGGTACTAGCTGTGTCGTGTAATAATCTTGATCTTTTTTCGTTGCAGATGAACCTGGAAATCCTTAGTACGAATTTGCACAATACGTGCACCTGATACTTTTCTATTTCATGGATTTCCAGTGGAAATAGTTTCTTGTGGAGCCTTAAGCTTTTAAGTGCTTGATATATACCTTGACTATATTGCTTGCATACGAGTGTGTTTCGGCTGAAGTAATAATTAAATTGCTCTCCTGGGCAGTGATCCTTTTTTCCAACAATGTTTGCCTTTCTTTATTTCAGGACATGGTCGATGGAGGTGATGAAAGTAGCGATGAAGACGATGACGACAGTGAGGAAGAGGAAAGTTCTGAAGAGGAAGTGGTAAGGTTATAGGAGCCTAATATTCTGCAATATATTTGATTCATAAAAGATCTATGTTTGCTCATTCCTTTTGGGAAGATTTCTGACTCGCTGATAGCTTTTTCTTTTTTGGATTCTAAAAGGTTCGACCAAGTAAGAAGAGACCTGCTGATTCTGTCCTGAAAACCCCTGCATCAGATAAGAAATCAAAACTGGAAACTCCTCAAAAGACTGGTATGTTGTTTAAACTCTAAAGAGTAGCTCCTGCCACCCCAGGAAAAAAGAACTCCTGGAGAAAAGGGAAAAGTAAAAGTAAAAAATTTAAAGCAAACTCCTTTTAATGTCATTCATACTGCAATAGAAGTTTCTTGGTTGAAGTATTTTCAAAATTCAGTTTTTAAGGACCTGTTCATGTTGGAGTTTGGTAGTATTATAGTCTGGTTGGGGATGAAGAAAGCCAAGGTCATTTGACCATCCTTGCTTCAAGTTGCAAACACTATGTGGCATTTCATTCTTAATGCTACTTTTATCTACAGTTGGAATGCAATGATTCATGAGCGAACTATGCTCTTACTCATAAAAAATAAAGCCGCATATATATATTGTGCTGCCGGTGAGATTTACGCAGTTGTGGTATATGATATTGGTGCAGATGGCAAGAAAGCCAGTGAGCATGTAGCAACTCCATACCCTTCTAAGCAAGCTGGGAAGGCGATTGGTAACAAAGGTCAAGCTAAGCAGCAAACACCAAACTCCAATGAGTTCTCGTGCAAACCTTGCAACCGGTAGATACTTCTTGTCTCGAACAGTGTTCATAGGAGTTATACAGTGTCAAAGTTTGATGTTTTCAGAGTCATATTCACTGACGCGGTTGTCATCTATTGCAGGTCGTTTAAGTCGGAACAGGCTGTTCAATCTCACAACAAGGCGAAGCATGGTGCAAGCTAAAAAATTTGGGTAGTCCAAAGACACTGGCGATTTTGTCCGACTGAGGTGGGTGATACCAATCGGCGAGAGCTCCGCTAGAAGTTTAACCGGGATGTTCTTTTTGTTGTTAGTTGTGGCTTTTCATGACTCCATTCTGGAACTATGGGTATTAACGGTCCTGAACAGCTTTCAATATTTGAATTTGAAACACTTTTGTGTCCTTCAGTCAGCTGTACACATGTCGAGCCCGTGCGTGACTTTGCATTCGGGATTATTCAAAACAGGTGCTGATACTGGTGGTTTGGGCTATAAATTCGAGTAAATTTTGGTAATGGTTGATGTGCAAAGGCGATTGTTCCAAGTATAATAGAATTTGAGCTTGGAGATCGGACTATAATGTCAGTAAATAGAACTGGAAAGAGCTCATGGGATGAGAAAGACGGTGAAGCTTTGTCTTAATGCTTTGTTCCTTCTCATACCAAGAGAGATGGGAAGTGAATTTTTGTTTTCTGTTAAGAGGCAATAATGAAATGAGGGAAGACGTAGTGATCGTCAATGAACTTTGGAAATGCAAAATTTATCTTTTCTGATGGCGGGTCGCAGGGAGTAGGGGTGACTACGAAATTGCCCTTTCAGGAATCATTCCTCTTGAAACAGCAGAGAGGTTTGCATTATTATAACGAGAGTGGACTGGCCAATGTAGGCACCAGAGGGCCTCTTATGAGTTGTGTCTAATTCGATGATGGGAAGATCGTCGTTGGAATTTTCGCACAAAATCGAAGGGTCGATTGATGACCTGTGCACCCGACAGCGACGATCTTTGCTAATGCCGAAGCCCCGTGTGCTATAGTTGTAAGCGAAGAATGCTCCAGTCTTATCTATATAAGCAAATCAATTCAGATCCGAAAGAGTAAGCGCCTTTGTAATGTTAGAATCCATGAAGCACGGTTCTAGCCTGCATCTCGATTACCGGTTTATATTTAGGGAATATGATGACAATGCTGGTGTAAAATTGATAAATCATGATCTAATAAATTTGGAGAAGTATAATGTGAACAGCAGGTTTGCCCGAGAGGTTAAGGGGGAAGACTTAAGATCTTCTGCACATAAGTGCGCGTGGGTTCGAACCCCACAGCCTGCATCCTTCCGCCTTCCATTTATTCCCTTTTCATACCCATTGCTTTTAGTTTTTCATATCTGAAAATGTAAATTACGTCAAAACCAAATTTTTTTTTTAAATCATCTGAAGGCAACAAAAATAAATAAACTCCTCAATAAAAGGAAGATAAAATTAATGTTCGAACTCTAATATAATGGAGAACCAAAAAAGAAAAAATACGTAGCAAAACTTTGAATAGAGAATAATAAGAACTAAATGAGCCGTAATGCCCGTCGGAACTATGTCATTATGCATCTTCCCTCATGTTCCACATTGTAAGATAAAATTGACATTGTCTCTCCACTGATGAAAGCAAATGAACTTTCAAGTGTCTATAGTACTAATCTAAAGGGTTAAATTGACTTGAAAAAATCACTGACATTTCTTTCAGCCTTACTCACCCCAAAAGTGAAACATGTAATTGAAGATTATAGAGGAAAACATTTAAAGTAATTATCAATGTGAAATAAAAGCTGTGAATAAAATATTGAATTTTGGATTTTTCAAAGGTGGAGTAAAATTAAAAATTGCAAGAAAAAAAAAAGGATGGTGTGAAGACAGAATTTGAAGGAATATCCTATTTAGTCTTAAGTGTTTTCAATTTGACTTGAAATTACTAACTTGGATGCCGGCGTCTTATATGCCACGGACAATTTTTGCAATTTTCTTTTTAAAATTTCTAAATTTTGTACAAACTTTTTTATTCTTTTATTTTCTTTCTCTTCTTATTCTTTTTTAATCGTATTACGGCGATCTAGAATAGGGCCGCGACCAATGCTCGTGGCCAACGAGGGCTTTGCGGCCTCGCCTAGTGATCTACGACCCCAATCTTCCATTCGGGGAAGATGAACAATGGCAAATAATTAAAAGAAAAGAGAGAAAAGAAAAAAAAAGATAATCTTTTAAGTTTGAAAAATTTTTAAAAATGAAAAAAATTGTCAACATTAGCACCGACCATTATTCATGGCAACGATTTCCGACCAAAATTAGCCATAAGGATTACATTGAAAATTGATCAAAAAGTTTAGGACTAAAATGGTCAAATTAAAAAGTCGAGGATTGAATTGGCAACTATATTGTAGACTTAGGACTTTTCGGATAATTGTTCCGGAGAATTAATGTTGGGGAGACTAAACGTCCACATATTACTATCTTATTTATGGCGAGAGATACTTATATTTATCGAAAAAAGTACTATAGGGATTGCAACCACCCGATTGCTTTTTTAAGTTTGACGGGATCTTAAGTTAAAATTCATAAGCTACGTTTGGTGAACCAGATATAACTCTGGATAATATAATTTATACATTATCTAGTGTTTGGGGTAACACAAAATCCGGATATGTTTAGATATAAAATCTCACATAGGTGTACAATCCTATTAGGAAAAGATTTTAAAAAAGAAAAAGAAAAATGTAAGCCGTGGTGTTATACGTTGTAGAGTGAGCAAGCTACATCGTGTGCGAGCTCCACCATCTCAGACCAACGTGATGGAGCGTGCGACTCTAATCGGCACGAGCCCCACCATCTCGTACCTCGGATTTGAGGTTTGCAACCTCAGACCCGAGGTTACCGGCCTCAAGGGACTCTAGATTTGGCTATTCCCGATACTGTTTGAATTGCACCAAAAGCGCACGCACGACGTTGCTCTAGCTCAAGTACAGATTCTTCAGGCCGGCGATGTATATGGAGGAGGTACCGGAGACCGTGATGGAGTTGGAGCGGAAGCACTTCCTCGACGCGATCAGGCTCTCGATTGCAATGACCGATTCGACGGTGAAGCACCTCCACCGTCGCTCAAGAGCCCGTGCTTGCAAATGATGACATGGAAATTCCGGGTTCTAGTTTTCTGTTGCAGAGTGATTTTGCACGTTGGTGATACCCGGACAGCTTGGACGTCCACGAGGGCTCGGAGAATTGAACAATCGAGATTCAATCCAAGAACGGCGAGGAGGGTGAGGTGGGATTTGCCAGCAAGAGACATTACATCGGGAGGATGCCGGTGCCTGGCAAGGTGTTCGCGCTTGCCGTATCCATGTCATATCTGAGAATATCTACCAAACAGCACATGAGATATGAGAAATCCCACATCTACCCAATCCGACAAATATAGCCCTGATGACCAGACGTAGACATAACGGATTAGGGGCGGATTTAGAAAATGACACAAAGTCGACGGACGGATTTTTATGTCTATTATATCGAAATCTGTCCACAGACAGATACATGAGATATAGAAATGGATATGATGTTGATACCATCGGACAGGTTTTGACCATGAAAGATAATTTGCTACCCGCAGATGTTTCTAAAGGGGACGATCGCGGGCCCACAAAGAGGTTCCGTCGACCGGAACACCCTTTCTTACACAATTTCAAAGAGAAGTAGGGGGGCGAAATCTTGGATTGCAAGACGACTGCCAAGCCCATAAAATTTTAAAAGTCGTATCTGATCTTCCACGATATATATATCTCCACAGCTCAATTTTCCTCGAAAGCTTCAGGCATGATGCACAAGTCACTCATAGAACATGAACAATAAATAAAAAAGACCAACAATTGACAAAAAATTCCCAATCATGATCCTCGAAACTCCAAATAAATGAGACCTTAATTCCAGCGACCCATTCATTCGATACATTAGATACCTTACAACTAAAACTCCTCTGTTTTTTTTTCAGGACCCGCGCTAGACAAACCCCATCTCTGCTTTCCCTTTTACGCCCCCATATCGCCACGTGGGAGGGGCATAGAAACATAAAAAAGGGATCCTATTAACTTGTTCCGATCTATAATAATAAACTCATGAGCTTGATCTTACTTCACTGTCCAGAAACGAACTCCGAGTTGACATAAGAGAGCGAAAATAAAAGAAAACATTGATCTCAAAGCCGACCGTTAGTTATAAATCCTCCATAAAGTAAAAACATAAGGCTCCTCCTCATTATATCGTTCGAGCTCAAAAAAGATCCAACAAGAAAGATTATTTAAGACAAACGAAAGTTCAGGCCTTGTATTTTCGAGCCGCCCTAAGACCAAAATTATTGCTCAAGAACAGACAAAGCAAGCCAAACACCCGGATCTGCCCTGATAAGGATGCCATTCTTGCTCTAGTAGGGTTCGACGGGCTTGCGGAAGTTTGCTCCAGCAAAAACAGCTTCAGCACCGAGCTCCTCTTCAATTCGCAAGAGCTGTGCATATACAGACACAGAGTCACGACATTTTCATGGAGAAATGCTGACGATCGACTTTCAGTAATTAGAGGCAAGTGATAGACGGAATAGAGATGGATCCTCTCTTTTCTTCTCTTTTTTATTCTCTAACCCATTGACGAAATGATGTAAGTACAGGCCAAAGCAGCTCAATGTTAAAAAGTAACGAACAGAATAATGCCAACCTGGTTGTATTTAGCCAGCCGCTCTGACCTGCATGGAGCTCCAGTCTTAATTTGACCCTGATCCCGAGAACAATGCCAAAGGAACTAATTAGTTAATGGTTAAATAAAGTCGATATAAGGAGGTCGAACTGATGTTGTGTACTTACTGTAGCCAAACCCACAGAAAGGTCGGCAATAAAAGTGTCTTCTGTTTCTCCACTGCAAAATATTGTAGATAATGTCAGCGACTACTTGCCGAAGCAAGAAGAAATTATAATTATAGGTAACATTATATTGACTGTGCTTTGTGGCTGTGCAAACCTGCGGTGGCTAGCCATCACTCCCCACCCAGCTCTCTTCGACATCCTTACAGCTTCAATACTCTCAGTAACAGTTCCAATTTGGTTAACCTGTTGTAAGATCATTCCAGTCAGGTGAATGTAGATATAGTCGGCCGTAAATTGCATGCTTAAAATTGATGACCTGGGATGTACCTTGAGAAGGAGAGCATTGCAACTTTTCTCATTAATCGCCTTCTCCACCCTCTGCAGAGTACCATATGATTGTGTTAGAGAGAGAGAGAGAGAGAGAGAGAGAGAGAGAGAGAGAGAGAGAGAGAGAGAGAAGCATAAACGAAGTTTACAAGCTCACCTTGGGGTTGGTGACCAACAGATCATCTCCCACAATTTGGACATGTTCACCCATTTCACAGGTCATCTTTGCGTAGTGCTCCCAGTCATCCTGGTCAAAGGGATCCTCAATCGACACGATAGGGTACTCACTTGCGAATGACTTGTACATATCTTTGAGAGCATCTCCAGGGATCTTCTGAGATCCATCATTGTTCTGCATTAACCAACAGAGATAGAAGAGGATGAGGACTTCAAATCCTGTTTCCGGATGACTACAAGAACCAATATTCAAGCTACAATCAACATTCATAGAAATGATTTCTTGAGGAAGCATTACCACCTGTTTAACTCTTCACAAAAAATGCATTTGACTCCATAAACAGTGAAAAAAACTAACCTCTTCCTTGAAGTTCAAATCATAGGTTTTATCTTCTCCATAGAACTCAGATGCAGCAACATCCATTCCAATAACAACCTGAAATAGGAAAGGAAAATTAAGAGAAAACCCTCTGTAAGTCCAACAATATTAGATGGTTGGTCCAAGAACTCACTTTGCCAGTGTAACCTGCTTTTGCAATGGCTGTTTTGAGCAACTCTAGACCCTCCTTGTTCTCCTGAATTAGGAAACAACACTAATAGTGTAAGTAAAAGGACTAACAACAACTCTCTGTGAGAAGAAAAATTGCTCCAATTTCATTGCTTATCATAAACCAACAATTTCACCTGAATATTAGGAGCAAATCCACCTTCGTCGCCAACATTAGTTGCATCCTGACCGTATTTCTTCTTAATCACAGCCTAAAGAAAATTATAAAAATCATCAGCCAAACGAAGAGTTTAATAGTTAAAAATTTCATGAAACTGCATTAACCAACTTGCACGAGATCTTTGATCGTCCTATATATTCATGCTATGTGATGATTTAGAAAGACAAAGCAAAGTAATGGATGACTCATGCATCTGCTCAAAATAATGCACAACATCAGACAAGTCTCCATAATCATGTTTTCTAACAGTTCGACAGTTCGTGGAGGATGGTTTTTAAGATAATTTGAAGAATATATGTTTTAGCACCTTCAAATGGTGATATACTTCCACACCCATCTTCATGGCCTCCTTAAATGAGCCAGCTCCAACTGGAAAAATCATGAACTCCTGCAGCATAAGTTCATAGATACTTGTAATGATGAGAAATCCTAAAAAAGATATACAGTAAAATGTAGTTAAGCAGCAGACTGCAGACCTGCATTGCAAGTTTGTTTCCAGCATGCGAGCCTCCGTTAATAACATTAAAAGCGGGCAGAGGCAATACCAATTTGCTGTTACCGGCAAGGTTAGCAATGTGCTGCAACCATGAAGAGAGGGAAACCGAGTTAGCATATTTTTATTTACATGGACAGTAGAATCATCGTGGAAATGATCTGCTAAGACTATCCCATTGCCTTATCACTAGATTTATAGCCAGAACTAAGTTTCATACAGTCCATCGTAAATTTTGACGTTGCAGGATACATGTTGTATGTCAACAATATGAAGAAACAGCATCCAGATTTTCAAGAGTGTCAATTGCAATGACCAATACTCAGGCAAGTATAACAAGTCAAAATTTAAAAGATAAGTGCTTGGAAAAGATGCAGACAAAAGCAAACATAGTAAAAATGGCAATGCTGAAAGCACCTTATACAGGGGAATTTTGTGAGCATCAGCCCCGGCTTTGCAGACCGCAAGGGACACGGCAAGTATAGCATTTGCTCCAAGCTTCACGAAAAAAAAAAAAAAAATTTGTACATTTGTTAATATCCAACACCACAACATGGTTGTTAAAACAAAACAATTCAAACAAGTACCTTTTGCTTACACCAACCCCACTCGTTTACAGTTCCATCAAGTTGTTGAACCATGAAATTGTCAATTTCTGTCTGCTCTGTTGGATCCTAAAAAACGCATAAACAAAGAAAATTACAAATCAAATAAAGTAGTCACCTTGGGCGAGAAATTAAAGGCTAGCTTACAACCTTCAACTGCTTAAAACAATCATCTCAATCATCTTACAGTTGGACAACAAGTTACAACTGAATCTTAAAGAACAAAACCACTGAAGGACAACTGTCTTGAAATGGAAAGCCATAATAATAAGATTAAATATATTAAACCAACCTTTCCAACTAGGGCAGGGCCAATGATCGAGTTGATATTCTCAACAGCCTAAATACACATTAATGCAATGATGCTCGTTAGAACAATCAGTGAAAACATAGCAATGAGCACAGCAGAAGACAACAGCAAGAAATGAAGTGGTGTACAACCTTGGAAACACCCTTTCCAAGATAATCAGACCCGCCATCTCTCAGCTCGAGTGCCTCGTAGACCCCTGAAATCAAGAGGTAACTCGACGTAAACACTGACCCGATTTCCGAGACGCTATTTCCATATTCTCTCGACATCATTTTCACCAGCAAAGATTATATAAACTAGCAAGATGATAGCAGATTCATAGAACTGCACATGAAATGCCAAGAAATGCGTCAAAATGGAGATTGCCGAAGCAAAAATCTTACCGGTGGATGCACCGCTGGGCACAGCGGCTCTAGCGAAGATCCCATCGTCAAGAGTCACTTCAGCCTATATAAAAAGATCGCATCGAATCTCAAATCAGCAAAGCAATCGAAAACAGTCACACCCGGAAAGCACACGCGGCTACTATTTTTCCCCACTCATAAGTACTACGAAATCCAACGCGACGATTGGGAAGATCTTCGCGGAGATCCATCGACAAAGCCAGATGCATTAACAAGCTTCACGGATCACAAACACAAACCATCCGTCGCCTACACGAACGACGACGCAGAAGCAAAAACACGCGGAACACTAAGCTACGCCCGCCGAACCAAACGAGATTCACCGTCCGGATCCCTCATCGACCGCCGACCGCTACTTCCGGCGGCCGAATCGAGAGCAACAGCACGGGGGCCCCGGAGGGAAGCTAGAGCCGACGCAGGACGGGCGATCGGGCAGGCGAAAACACGGGAGGAATCGAGAAAGCGGGATCCGAAGAGAATAGCGAAACGAACCTCGACCGTGGGATTGCCGCGGCTGTCGAAGATCTGCCGCGCCTTGATGCACTTGATCTTGGCCATGGATGGGGGGGGGGGAGAGAGCTCGGAGGTTTCAGATCAGAGGGAGAGAACGAAGAAGAAGAAGACGACGACGACGATCGAGACGGGAGAGAGAAGGAGAAGAAGAAGAAGGAAGAGCGAGGGATGAACGAGCAGCGATGATGCGCGAGAGACGGGATTTAACTAATAAAGGAGGCCTGGAGCAACGCTGACCGTCCGATTTAAGGGTTTAGAAAACGGTGTGCACTTGCCTATTTTTCTTTCCCCCTTTTCCTTTGCCTTTTTCCCCTGCTTTTTTGCCTCTCCAAATCTGCGTTCGGATTCCGACCCAAAAAACATAAATTAATCAGCGTCCGGACAAAGCATGCGCTCTTCATGAGCTGGAACGGATTCAAAATGGTAAAAAATGCCGAGAATCTGGCTGTGAAAGCCCGGCTCCTTCGCCGAACGATTTGGTTTTTACATTTTTAACCGTCATCCACCTTTTATAAATTTATCATATGAATTGTTCTTAACACCACTCGCTTCGGATCGGTCCGATTTGAATTCAGCCCATCAATAGACGCCCCCGACTGAACCTGAATACGAAGCACGCAACGTTCCTTACGAGCCAGCCCGATCCGATCCGCCCTCCATTGTGGCGGCTGGGTGATCGGTAGGAAGATCACACCAGCAATATTCAATCGAAAAGAAAAGAGAAAAAGGAAGAAAAGGATGGGAACGGGACTTTCTTTTTGGTTGTTGTTGGGTTTCGTAGGTGGGGCGTACACGTGGTACTACTACTGTGGGTCAAAAGGGGGCTCGAAGTTTGGTGAGGGGCAGCCCACGGCTAGGAGGGATAACTCGGGGGGCATCGAGGAATATGCTTTGGTTCCGACACATAGAAAGGTTTTCTTGAGCCCCAAGTTCTTCGATTCGTTGATGTCGAGGTTTTTCGAAAGTTCGAAACTCCTCCGTCCTGTCCATTCAAAGCGTACGATGCCGTTACAGAACAGTCAATCGTGACCCAAAGAGTCGCAGTTGCAAAAAAGGCAAGTGGGTCATGAACACAGTTGACGTTAATCCTAAGTTGGATTTTGTTACCGAGTATCCGGCGATCATGTAAGGAAACTCCACGATTTTCGACACATGTATACCTATAATCCGACTCGATGCATAGATTTCTTTCTCTTTCGGCCGATCGGGCCTTATATAGACTACTGATTAACGAGCAATATCTCGGATTCGGAATCTCCCGGACCAGATTATATGTTCTCGAAATTAGACCGGACAGAAGAACTGCATCGCAACGAAAGTCGATGGTCAATAGGAGTTTTCTTTGTCTTTTCTTTGGTTGCTGCCGACGCTGGCGGACACAAAACGTGAACTTTGTTTGACAAATAAGGGCGTGATACGTGCTCAAAGGGGCACGCCCTGAAGCTTTTTTTCGCATGAGGCTTGACGTCACATGCCATGCGCGAATTAGTTGAATCCCCAAGTGGCAAGTGTTCTATATGAATACACAATGCAATGATTTTCCATACATGGACGCACGCCTGACGAAATCGATGCCATGTATGTTCTATTGTTCTTACTGTCTCTACTAAGAAATTCCATGATGTGTTATTGTCACTTACCAAAATAGCATCAAAGCTTTCTGTCACAGGAGTAATGAAGTCAGAAAATAGATAAAACCCCCATAAAAGACTTCGCATGGTATTAGACTATAGAATCGATCTCGGTTGCGGTTCGTAGGTCTCAATTGTGCTCTAAAATCCACACCGTGGGATGCACAAACGAAACGTTAAGATTCAGCTAAGTCTCGAAGAGTTTTTCCCTCATTTCGGTGGATGGCCGCCAATCGCCCACTCAAGAGGAGGGTCGATTCAGGTTCAGTCTAGACACCAAAATTGGATTACGAGTTGGTCTTGGTTTCGAGAGGGCGTTGCAAAACCAATCTTTCACAGGTTCATAGCATCAACTTTTGGATGCTCAAGCCTCAAGCCGACAGCAAAAGGATTAGGATGAAAGCAATTTCGTAGTGTGGTTACTCAGAAAAGGCAAGTGAATCTCGAAAGCCGACCACAAGGCACTCTTCACCGGAAAGTCCCTCATAGAACTCGACATGATCGTCGCCGACATGCAGTTTTACTTACATAAGGTAGAATTGGTGTATCGAAGTTATTGACTTCAAACAAGTACAGCAACTAGAACACCTGGATTTGCAAAAAGGTCGCTTTGATTCTAGTAGGGTCCGACAGGCATGCGGAAGTTTGCTCCAGCATACACAGCATCTGAGCCAAGCTCCTCTTCAATGCGCAAGAGCTGCGTGTGCAGGGGAATGACAAGTGTATAATAATTATATCATGCAACATAAGCAACGGTTCCATCTTCTGAAATTTGAGCAACAGATGTCGAGATAGAATGCGAAACTCTTAACAAAAAAAGAATCAGAAGTCAACGCCTAAAATGAAACTGATAAAACCCAACCTGGTTGTATTTTGCCAGACGCTCTGACCTGCATGGAGCTCCAGTCTTAATTTGACCCTGTTACAGAGGGTTTCACCGACATGAGAAAAACTAATTCGCTAATAATATTGTATATGGTGAAAACATGCTATATATTACCGTGGCCAGACCCACAGAAAGGTCAGCAATAAAAGTGTCCTCTGTTTCTCCACTGCAATCAATATTCTAGACGATATGAGCTACCCATGTGTTTGCTGAAAAAGAAAGTATTAATTAAACCAGGTAACCAGACCTGCGGTGGCTGGCCATGATGCCTCACCCAGCTTGCTTGGACATCTTCACAGATTCAATGCTCTCGGTAACAGACCCAATTTGGTTTACCTGTCAATACTAGTGACAGTAATCAGCATATATAAATATATATTTGTTTTGCAGTGCATTGTCAGTTGAATAGATCTAGAGAGTACCTTGAGAAGAAGAGCATTGCAGGTCTTCTCTTTGATTGCCTTCTCAACCCTCTGCAGAAAATGAATTGTTCACTTTCGTGTCCCTCCATGTGTATGCGTGTGTCGGAGAGAGAGAGAGAGAGAGAGAGTATGACGAGTATCCAAATGCACAAGCTTACCTTGGGATTGGTGACCAGCAGATCATCTCCTACGATCTGGACTTTGTCTCCAATTTCACAGGTTAGTTTGGAGTAGTGTTCCCAATCGTCCTGGTCAAATGGATCCTCAATCGAGACAATAGGATATTCACTTACAAATGACTTGTACAGATCTTTGAGAGCATCTCCAGAGATCTTCTGAGATCCATCATTGTTCTGAATAGATCAAAAGAATGAGAAATTTACATTTTAAAGAACAATGAGCAAACAGTTCTTTCTTGGCCAAATTCAAACTTAAGTTAATTTTGAGAGAGAAATCATTTAATCTTAGGACAGAAGCATCACCTACTTTTAATTTTAAAGAACTGCATTCTTACATACTCTATAATAAGAGAAACTTACCACTTCTTTGAAGTTCAAATCATATGTTTTATCCTCACCATAGAATTCGGATGCAGCAACGTCCATTCCAATAACAACCTGAAACAAACAGATGGGAACTAGTAAAGAGCCCCACCAGACATCTTGAAAAAACATATTGCTTTGCTTCAATGGTTCCCAACAGTGCCCTCCTATGAGCAGTGTGTGTCGCCCTTTTGAAATAGCAGGCAATGAAAGAGGTTATATGAAATATACAAGGGGAGGAGGATATTAAGATAATGACATGCTTAGGGCGCGTTTGGTGACACTTCTATTTCTCTATTTTTCTGTTCTCTGGAACAAAAAAAGAATAAAAACCTGTTTGGTAATGCATTTTAATTTTCTATTCCCAGAAATAAAAAGGTGGCCAAGAAATAGATTTGAAGCAGAAATAAGAAGTAGAAAATATCTACTTCTTTGTTCTCGGAAATAGAAATAGAAATAGAAAGGTAAAAGGGGTTATGTAAACCCTAAAATTTTTATTTCTTACCTCTTCTTCCTTTCAAGCAGCGGCTTCTTCGGCTCCTCCATCATCCGTCGTCTGCAGAGCACCGGCCACCACCCCCGTCACTCGCGGTAGAGGTGCAATTCCGGCCTTCCTTCTCGCTCCTCGAGGGCCGGCGCGGCGTTCGTTCCCGGTTCGAGGGTCTCGAGCTCCCGATTACGCGCATTACGGTTCCATCCCCGCCTCGATTGGCCGGCGACGGACGTCCGTCGATCGGATTTAGCCCCCGCGGTTTCTGATGTCTGGCGGTTTCTGGCGATTCGTCTTTGCAGGTAGCACGACGCCGGGACTTACGACGCGAGGACGAAGACCGCCGGTCCGAACGGCTCGATTCGGAACAAGGAAGAGTACTCCCACGGTGCCAATGCTGGCTTGAAGATCGCTCTTGATTTCTGTGGTGAGCGCTCCCTGCTCTTTCTGAGCTACATGCCTTTAGGTTTCTCTGCCTTTGCGGTGTTGATTCCTTTGGCAGAGTGGTGTCTATGCCTCTTCGATATCCGTGCCTGAAGTAGTTTCTGGAGTTCATCTATTCATGCATCGACGGCAGTTTGGAGGACGAGCATGCAATTGTAGGTTGTGATTGTGCGAGTCCCGTTGCATGCTCGTTTGATACTAAATATATGTAGGTGCATGGAGATTTGAGAGTCCAATTTCCATGGACGTATGTCTTCTAATACTTCAATTATAGCTTTCCTTCATTTGCTGCTGTGGGAGGAGTTGCTTTTGCTTATGTTTTGTGTCATTTGATGAGTAATGGTTGACTTAATCATCTTACGATGTTTAGTGCACACATGCGGGGCGCATCGTCTGTTATGTCGAAGACAGTTAACAAGTTTGTTAACATGATGCTATGTACTTACAAGTTCTTGAAGGGCCAAGCAGTGCGTTTGCAATTTTAGTTGGCTTAACGTTATACTCTGGACTTATCAACGGGATTTAATCTGCGTACTCTGATTTACTTTTGTTACTTGCCTGTAGCATAGTGTTAGGTTCATCTAACCAAATTTAGATATATTTCCAATATTCATCAGTATAGAATGCATGAAGATAGTTGTTGCTTTAGACATTGATACTTTCTTTAAAGAAATCCCTACAGTCTTCATAAAGTTGAGGTATATGTATTATCTTATGTTCAGTTTATGAGAGCATGCTTAAGATGGGTGGTTTAGTATTCAGTCTAATGCTTCCATGATTGTCGACCAAGGAAATTCTAAGACCTTTGCATATATTTTACATGAGTTACCCTGTAGATATGTTATGATTATAAGTGTTTCAATTATACAACTGTACGAACCCATCATGGATAATGTCATAGCTTTGATGAATCAAGTTTTTTTGTGAATGGAGTTGAGATATAACTTCAGTCAGTATATTTGCATTTGCTTTTCTGTTGGATACAGAGGAGGTGAAGTCCAAGTGTCCAAAGATTACATACGTAGATCTATACCAGGTGAAAAGACTGTTTAAAGGATTTGTTCTTCCATCTTACATATTACGAGTCGCCTCTCCCAATAGGTGGACGAAATCTCTGTTGATATGACTAGCTTAGTTTGAAAAAGACTTCGAATTCTTGCCATTTAACTTTGAAGTTTTATTCCTTCCAGCATGCAACATCTTTAAAACTAATGTGCATGCACGTATGGAAGCCCTTAATTGGCATAACCCACATATTCTCCATATTCAGATGCTTTAAGAGCAAATCTTTATCTATCTTGTTTTCAATCCCCTGGGCATTTAGTTCTCAGTTGCTTGTAGGAAATCTCCTCTGTCTAGGTCAACTGGTATTGTTCTTGGTTGATTAGTGGTTGGATGATGTTATATATAGTTGATCGATTCTAGTGGTTACTATTAAAAATGATTTATCAATTTGCAAGTATTGATCATTATGAGCGAATTGCCTGTTTCAGCTAGCAGGAGTTGTTGCAGTAGAAGTCACTGGAGGTCACACAGTCGACTTTGTTCCCGGAAGAAAGGTACTCTGTTTTAGCTATATGTGAGTAAGATAATTCTTACGAGTGCCTTATTCACTAAGTTTTTTTCTACCTGTAGGATTCAAAAGTTTCTCCAAACGAAGGAAGACTTCCAGATGCTAATCAAGGTATTCTGTTGTGTTAACTTTCCCTTTGTTGTCTGGCCTCCCTTCATTTCCCTCCATCCCTCCCTCCAAATATTATGGGCCACTGTGCTTCTTATTGCTCCAGGCAAAACGTTAAATAGCTATTTATTGTTTTCCTTAAGGTTGCTGCCTGTTAATCTTGAAATGTATGTCCATCTCATCTGAATGTCAATTAGTAAGTTTCCAGGGGAATGATTTGAATGAGATAAGAAGCACAGTATATATGCTTCTCTTGTTGAGCATTTTCTTGTGGGTGGGTTTGGGATGTGATTATGTTGTTGTTGGTGATCTTTCATTTTGATTAACTAAAACTGAAAAAAAAAAAAAAGAATGATATTTCTTGTGTATGGACGCTACATTATTCCTTGTCTCAATTGCACTTGGTTTGTTTGATTGGATTCTCCCTATGAAGCATGATATTTCTTGTGTCTATTAGTCTTTTCGTGTGTGGTTTTTGGAGGAAAATAGAACAAAGAGGAAGGGTTATAGAGGACAAATTTGTTTGTGATGCTTGTTCTGTTCAACTCCTCAGATTAACTTTGCATTGATTAAATTGGTACTTGCTACCTGTTGAGCTCAGGCACCTGCAGCTAAAGAAGTTTGTGGCAAAAGTAGCTGATAAGAAGGGGAAAACAGTTGAAGTGGAGAAGCAAGAGCAACTAGATCCTCTTGTTGGAAAACTACAGCTTAGGAAAAATATTGCAAATCAAATGGCAAGGAATCACAATATGCCTGAGATTCCATGACTTTATGTTTCTGACTTTTGTTATGTTGTTCATAAATATTTGGCAACATTTTGTTAATTAGCAGGTATTATTATTGTTGTATTTTTGAAATCCAAAGCCTGTGCAGCGTTTCAAACAGAGGTTTGGCAAGCTTTGAATATTTGGCAAAGCATGAGTTGATGGGATATTTTAGTGCTAGGAGTATGGAGAATCTCATTGGAGTGTTGGCATTCAACTACATTTTTCTTGCTGCAAATGAAGACTACTCCTCCACCTACATGTTCAACTTTATTGGATGAAAACAAGATGTAAATATTTATATATATAAGTCACAATCAAATTTAAATTGATTTTGTAAACTTAATCATTATAAGAAAATGAAGGATTCATGTCTATATAAATTAATTTTCAAAGTTACTATGACTATTTAAGTGATTAATAAAGCGAATGGATCATATTCAAGCGCCTACTAAAATCGGCATCATCCACGTGTTATTATAATGTCGTATATGGAGTTTCGAATGTTCTTTATATATATATAGTGGCAAAGAATTCTATGCATCATAGGAAAGAGTTCATAAAGAGAAAGAAATGTATAATCTTCTTAAGTGACAAAAATTAGTGACGTCATCTGTTGTAAATTATAGCACTGTCAATGTTGACCTAGAGAGTTCTTCACATTCGTAGGATGAGTTCTTGTTTTGTTTATTTATTGGTAATAAAAACAACTAACACATGGTTAAGATGTAAGTATTCTTTTTTATCTTTTGGTAATTTAATATAAGAATAAATAGTATTTATAATAGCGGTTGTGAAGAAACTTTTGAAATAGATAAATATGGTATTCAGAATAATTGGTTGATTACGATAATTAATTATGGTATAAAAAGTAGTGTGAGTTAAAAAGGATATAAATAATGCTTCTTGGTTTTTTTCATTTATAACTTGTACTTACACTTAAATAAAAGATATAAACTTGAATGAAAAAAATTGAAAATAGAAATTTTTTTGGTTGTACCAAACGCATTTCTGTTCTTTTTCTATTCCAGGAATAGAAATTTTGTGCAGTTACCAAACGCATTTCTGTTCTAGAAATAGAAATTTTGTGCAGTTACCAAACGCCTTATTTTGCTCAGAAACTCTTCCAGAAAATAGAAATAGAAAAAACTATTTCTGAAAAGAAATTGTTCCCAGAAATAGAAGTGTTACCATACGCACCCTTAGTTTATGAAGTTCTCTTGGAATTTCAAATGCCTAAGAAAACAAGAAAGCCTGGGAACTCACTTTGCCAGTGTAACCTGCTTTTGCAATGGCAATCTTGAGCAATTCTAAACCTTCCTTGTTTTCCTGTACATTCACAAACCCATTATAATGCTCGCCTGGAAATATTGTGAACAAAATTGAGGCCAAGATGGGTTATTACGGGTCCAAGGTTCACTAATCAAAAGGTCTACCTGAATGTTAGGAGCAAAACCACCTCATCACCAACATTAGTTGCGTCCTGACCATATTTCTTCTTAATAACAGCCTGCGAGAAATAGCCCAATGAGAGATATAAATCATAAAGGAAGAGAAATAATCAATCATACTGCAAGAGTCCTAAGAAGAGAAAGCCACCTAAACTAAAGTCATGATACTACACTAATAACGAATTTTGTTTAACCATGTGTTCCGAGGAACTTGCTATACTTGCGAAGTTACGAAGATTTAGGTTACGGTTTCCAAGTTTCTGAATACCTTCAAGTGGTGATAAACTTCCACACCCATCTTCATGGCTTCCTTAAACGAGGAAGCTCCAACAGGAAGAATCATAAATTCCTGTAGAAGGCACAGAGAAATGATATTCAGATGTTCAGGAATAAATTGAACATTTAAAAGTGTCGTCAGCATTCAATAGAAGATTACAGACCTGCATTGCGAGTTTGTTTCCAGCATGTGACCCACCATTAATGACGTTGAAGGCAGGAACAGGCAACACCAATTTGCTGTTACCAGCAATGTTCGCAATATGCTGCATCCATAGATAAGCAATATCATACCCTTACTTGGGTCAACACAGAACCAACAAATCACCATTGTACAAGTGATTGCGATTTGGTGATGCGGTTTCTCTGTTATGACCAGTAACAAAGCTGAGTTTCCCTTCTTAGGCTATTTGAAAAAACATTAAAAAAAAAAAAATTCCTAGAACAACATCATCCAGAAAGCCAGCACGGATCTTAGTGCAATAAGTCCACAGCAAACTCGTGAAGTAGGTATGATTAAACTAAGTAGCTAAGGGCATGAGAAGATATAAAGAAACAGAAAAAGACAGCTGATTGTGGTAGCGCTGAACCATAACAAACCTTGTAAAGAGGGATCTTGTTAGCAGCAGCTCCAGCTTTGCAGACAGCAAGAGACACTGCAAGTATGGCATTGGCTCCAAGCTTTACAACAAAAAGTTTACTACGGTCAATAAAGTTCACTCCAACACGCACTACACGAGCAAGAGTGAATTAGATAAATACCTTTTGTTTACACCAACCCCACTCATTTACAGTTCCATCAAGCTGGTGGACCATGAAGTTATCAATAGCAATCTGATCCCTTGGATCCTGAAAAATAAAGTAAAGATAATTGTTACATAGTAGGATATGACAAAATAAATTAGTCTGCATTAACTATCATTTTGTCTGTCGCAAATTTATTACCATGACAAATACTTAAAGACTTGAAGTCAAAAGTGTATATAAGTCGACATGAGTTCAAAACAAACCTTGCCAACCAAGGCGGGACCAATAATTGTGTTCACATTCTCAACAGCCTATATATGCACAGAGATGGCAAATACTCGTCAATACAAGTGGCAGATAAATGATGAAAGACAATATGATAACACTAAGTGGTTGTTTCGCCGGTTTGTTACTCCGTCGAAAAATCTTTCACCGAACGCTGCGTTTCGGATTTTATTAGAGGAGACTAGGGTCTTGAGTCAAGCTTGGACAGAGAACGTCAAATGCGTTTATTAATCCAATGTAGATCTTACACCCTGACTCGATATGATGTCGAACTAGACAATACTAACCATGAAACGACAACTTGCAAATGTTGAAATTAAGCTATGCCGGAATTTAATCGACGACACAACTTCAAAGTACGTCAGAATTTAATCAATGACGTAACTTGAATGAATACGGCTGGAATCTAATCAATAGCTATACTCCAAACACAGCGCCAGAATTTAATCGACGACACTGAGCTAGTGGCTCAACACTGGAATTTAATCAACAATGCTGAACCTGATAAAGACCCTCGTCGGAATTGAATTTACGACACACAATTTGAAGATTATAACTAATACTACTCCTAATGTGCTTAAAGATAAAGGCTAAATAAATGATGTATTGTGTTGTTGAAGAAGGGTCCCTTCTACGTTGGAAGTCCTTGAGTATTTATAGAGCAGCTTGACAACCGTTCCTTGAAAGTCGTTTTCCACTTCCTTACGTTTCGTGCTTTAACTGTTTCCTGACTTGTCGATATTGCTTACGCTCCTTGGGCATCACGTAGTAGCTAATTTTCTTCCACGTGTCACTTTATTTCTTGTCATTCTTGATGCCCACGGTCGTGTCTTTACCTTTTGACACGTGTAAATGAATTTTTCGTCTTGTATTACCATGATTTCGCACAAAACTCGCGATTTTGAACTTTGTCGACGCCACGTGCAAAGCTCGTGATCTGGGATTCGTCGACGTCACGTGCAAGGCTTAAATTTGTCGACATCACGTGCAAAGCTCATGATTTTAAACTTGTCGACACCTTTATGACGCGTCCTGTCAACAACTACCTCTGGGCCTGATTTGCGGCCTTTCTCATATTTTTTGGCATGTGAGCCGTACTTTACATCTTCTGTAACTTGTGGACGGCCCATTCCCACCATGGGTAATTTTGGTTGTCAACATATGCCCCCTTTTAAAAGGAATAAATTTGAATTTATTTCTTTTAAATGTGTACCTTGTCTGTGTACGAATCCCTAGGCGATGATTATGCCTTTCTGTCCTTTGATGTCCTTTCGAACAGTCTCTACAAATTCCTCATCCAATACCCATTAGACACATCATCTCGTATCTTCCCCGAAAAGTTTTGGCTTTTCAAATCGTCTTCTTCATCTTTTATCCTTGTAAAAACCTTATTTCATCGTCGTGTCTTCTTCTTTCAACCCTAAAAATCCTTTCTTGAACCTTTTCGATCGCTTCTCATGGCGTCCAAAAAGTCCGAATATTCATCCAGCGATTACATCGCAGCTTTTGATAAGTTTAAAGACGATCCACGTGCTGGTAATTGCTTCTTTCATTTACTGAAAGCTGTCGAGGGTGAAAGCAACTGTTTCTCTCTGGGTCCCAGTTTCATGGACCATCTCAATATACCTGTGAATCTTCAATTCCACTTCCCGTATAAACACAGTGAGACCTTAGCACTG